CGGGGGGGGGGAGAAGAGAAGAGGGAGAACACCCAAGAAAGTCAATTAAATCCGCTCCGGACCAGTCCAAGAGCTATTTGAGGCATGAATATCTCCCCTAAAGCTGTAGCAATCATGTGGCATTAGACACTTCCGGAATCCTATAGCCAACTTGAAAAATCCCAGACCCCCTTTTTCCCCCTAATTTTTGCTCTGATCTGTAATTTTATCCACATTTGCACTAGTTTGAGCATTCTGGCTCTCCCATCTGAAAGCCTGCAATTACTATATAATTCTTCGCAATTTCACATGTCCTAATATGGACTGTAATTTTTGCGCAAGACAATTTCCTGCTATTTCAAGCATCAACATTGTCAAAGTTGTATGTACATAATAAATGGGAATATCAATGCATAGTTTTTAGCATAACATCTTGACTCCTCGATAATTATATCCGTTCGGAGCCTACGCAGAATTAGCCTGAATTGCACGGTAACTGCTGCTGCTTTAAAATTTTTAAAAATTACTCATAATTTTCCCAAAGATTACCAAGATCTCGAGTGCACAATGTCATCAGCGTAATGAAGAGTAAACATTTATGCTAATAATCTGCAATTTTTTTCCCATCAGCTATAAAGACAGAGGCTATATCGCAGAAATTTTCAGTGATATTCGGCAGGCGCCGGGCGCTCCGAGACTCACTTCGGCTCCCGAGGACCTCCGGATCCCATTTTTGGGGGGGTTGTGGGGTGTTCCCTGGGTGGCAAGGCTATTTCTTGCCCCTTTACGCCCCCAGCCCGACTCCCAGCCTCGGCTCCGTCTCTCCGGGCAACTTGGGCGAGCGGCTCCTGGGTTCGAATCCTGCGCCAAAGGGCTCCAGGTTGAGGCGACACTGGCAACCTCAAGGTAAGCCAGGGAGGGGACCACAGGGCGTCCTTTTGGGGCTACTGTCTTCCCACCACCCTCCCAGCCGCTTTGATGGGGATGTTTTTGGTCCCTAGATGAATTTTTGTGTGTGTGTGGAGGGGGAAAAGAGAGAAAGAGAGAAAGAAGGTGTTGCTGAATGCCTTCTTCTGATTCTCCCATCAGTACAATTTCGTGTCAGTGGTGACAAGATTATTCAAAAGTGTGTATGAGAGAGAGAGAGAGAGAGAGAGAGAGAGAAGGAAAGAGAGAGGGGAAAGGAGGGGGAGACCGATGGGGATTTGTAGTACAATAGGAGAAAGAGAGAGGGAGGGAGGCGCGCCTGCGAAGGATCTGCGAGGGAAGGAAAGTGTGGGTCTCCTTGGGGTCGCCTTTATTCAAGACTATGGGGAGAAGAGAATAAAAGACAGAGAGAGAGAGAGAGAGAGAGAGAAAGGGAGACTGTGTCCGCAGCGATGTGCAACTTGTGTGAAGCGCACCGGCTGACCGGGAGGGAGTGGGTGGATTTGAACTCCGTTCCCAATTGACCTGTCTCCCCCCCCCCCTCTCTGATTTTAATAGGGGGATGGATGTAAAGTTAAGAAGTGGAAGGAAAACCCAACAAAGAGGAAGCCCGTTTAGGTCTCCCTAGTTCCTTCTTTGATCCTTCTGGGAGTTTTTGGGTTTGTTTTTTTTTTTAAATATTTGTGTTGTAACATGATTTTGTGCGCCCTTTTTTTTCGGGGAGAAAAACCAACCTTGAGAAGCCGCGAGAAAAGTGGGGGACCCCTCCGCCTTTGTGATGCATGCGTCCACACAGGAATGGTGTGTTGCGGGTCCAGGAGCCAGGGACGGATTGAAACCCCGTTATAGTTTTAAATCCTATTATAGTTAATAACAAAACACACAAAGGACAGAAAACCTGTGCCCGAGCAAATAAGGGAAATTGAATTGAAGTAGTGGTTTGAGTGTTGGACTCCGACTCTGGGGAAACAGGATTCGAATGCCAGCTCGGCCATTACAAAAACAAACAAAAAAATCCACCTTGGGCAAGTCACACTCTCTCAGCCTCAGGGGATGGCCATGGCAAACCCGCTCCGAGCAAAACTTGCCAAGAGGACTCCACGATAGGCCTTAGGGTCGCCATAAGTCGGAAAGGACTTGAAGGCATACAACACACACACACACACACACACAGTGACTTTGGGCAAGTCACACTCTCTCAAGCCTCAGAGGCTGGCAAACTGGGGGGGGGGGGAATCCCTCTGAAGAAACCTTGCCAAGGAAACCCCATGATAGGGTCGCCATAAATCAGAAATGATTTGAAGGCACACAACAGCAATGATAGATAGATAGATAGATAGATAGATAGATAGATAGATAGATAGATAGATAGATAGATAATGGGTGACTTTAGACAAGTCACATTCTCTCAGCCTCAGGGGAAGGCAATGGCAAACCTCCTCTGAAGAAATGTTGCCAAGCAAACCCCATTATAGGGTCACCATAAGTTAGAAATGACTTGAAGGCACTCAGCAACAACAACAACAGTGTGGAATAAAGAAAGTAGCCTGTATAGATATAGATATAGATATAGATATAGATATAGATATAGATAGATATAGATATAGATATAGATATAGATATAGATATAGCTATAGATATAGATATAGATATAGATATAGATATAGATATATCATGGAGAATATGCGAGGTCGCATGGATAGCGATGGGTCTGTTTTGAAGGGTTTTCAGAGCCTGTCTCCAAATGCAAGGAGGCAGCTGGGCTTTTTGCTGGACGAGAGGGGGGCTCTTGAATCGGGGAGGGGGGCCGCCTTATTTGTGTGTGTGTGTGTGTGTGTGTGTGTGTGTGTGTGTGTGTGTTAGCGAGGGGGAGGCAGGCGGTATGAAAGAGGTATCTGTTGTCTGGCCATTTTGCGGAGCCTGTCTTCATTACTTCAACATTGTGCCTTGGCTAATGGGGAAAAGCCCCCTCGGCTTTTGCTTTTGACAACCGGGGCTCCATACACCTGCAAGCAATTTGCCCCGCTCCGATGTCGAGAAAATAGCGAGCAGCGAGGGAGGGATGCCAGCTCGCACCTATTTTGTGGCTTTCTCTCTCTTTCTCTCTCTCTTTCCCCCCAATCTTTCTCTCTCTCTCTCTTTCTCCTCCCTCCTCCTTCTTCTTCTTCTCCCCATTCTCAATGCACCGCAAATTTGGCTTTCAGAGCGTTATCTCTTTTGTTAATGCAAAAAAAGATTCCCTGGGCGAAAAAATTGCTCATAATTACCCGAGAGATGGGGAAACTGCATTAGAATAAATAAACCTGAAATTACTGTAATTATGTTGTGTTTGATGGGCTCGGCTTGTAATCAAGAAGAGAATACAGTGAAATGATGCTGACCCTCTTGGGTTTTGCAGCTGTACGCGCACTTTGGGGTCCTTTTTTATAGCAGGGAGTTGCTATTTTTTTGGGGGGGGGGAGAAGGAGAAAGAGTCATTTTGAGGATCATTAAGCTGTGTGGAACCTATGGCAGAAGTATGGGGAGATGAGGGGCAGGAGCTCTTTCTTTTCCCCCCAACCTAGCAGCCGCCTAAACAAAGCGGATACAAAAAACAACCCCTAATTTCCCCCCCCCCCCATTGTATTTTGTCATTTTTATCTAGGAAGGTTGTGCATTTGCAGAGAGAGAGAGAGAGAGGGACCACGATGCGATGGGAAAAAGGCGTCCTAATCGAAATCAGTTTTTAATCATTGTAATGAGGTATTGTTTCAATAGAAGCTCCTTCGGATGATTCCGCCTTTCATTAATCTCCTCATTAGGAAGATCTCCGAATATGATATTTAATGAACTCCTTGCCAGGGATAAAGCAGAATTAATGAGCTCTGAGCCCAGATTCCTCTTTGCAAATCGAGCCCTTCTTCTAATCGGCGCTAGAAAAACTAATAAATTTGGGTTGGCAAGACCGGACTGGATTAGGAGAAGACAAAGCAGCGCCCGCCAGCGTCCCAGCCTCAGCCTCGCCGGTCCACTTGGGACTTTCTTTCCTAATTTTGGGGGAAAGCCTGGCTTAGCTTTCAGCCTGATCTGGCTCGATAGAGATGGGTGGCCAGCTTTCGACCCCTCTGGATAAAATGTTTTGCCCATTCGGGGGTCCAGGAAGCTGGGAGGGGGCTTCTCCCACGGCCTGCCTCTCTTCTCCCCTGCAAGATGCTCCATTAAATCCCTCATTTCTATCCACCCACGCACCCACGCGTGATTTCGCACCCAGGCCCACTTTGTGGTATCTTCTCTCTCTCTCTCTCTCTC